CGTTGTGGATTGTACAGCAACACCAAATCTCCTTCCTGGAAACCCTCGGAATTCATCGAATTATCATACCTAGCTTTCATCTTGTCACTCATAATTTGCGTGCGCTGTCTCACAAGAGCATGTATCTCTCTCAGCTCCTCTTCCAGGATGTTTGACGTCTCTTTTCCAATCCTTCTAGCATCACCAGTCACCCCAAACTTCAGATCACTAGGCAAACGGAGCTCACTGCCGAATATTACCCTTGCAGGAGTTTTACCCGTTGTTTCATGCACTGCTGACCGGTATCCCATCAGGAACAAGGGTATGCGGACATCCCAATCTTTTTGATTCTTGTCCACGACCTTCCGCATATGCGCTTCCAGGGTTCGGTTGAACCGTTCCACCATGCCGTCTGATTGGGGATGAAGAGCCGTCGTTCGAGTTTTCCGGATACCCAGTATCTGGCACATCTCTTGGAACACCGCCGATTCAAAATTTCTTCCCTGGTCAGTGTGCAGCTCTATAGGTACACCGTATCTTGCAACCCAATTGTAAAAGTAGTCCATAACAACAAGGACGTATTTGTTTCCCTGTACGCTCGTAGGAAATGGACCGGCTACATCCATGGCAATCCGCTCGAAAGGTGCACCTGAGTTATATTGCTTCATCTGGCCATGACTTCTGGATTTCGGCCCCTTAGCTGCAATACACTCCGCGCAGTTAGCAATCCACTCTGCGACCGATTGCCGACAACCAACCCAATAGAACCTCTGCTTAACCTTCTCCAGGGTCTTCGTAATTCCCAGATGCCCTCCACTAGGACCATTGTGGAATTCCTTGAGTACATCCGGAATTCTTACCCTTAGAACTACTATCAGGTTGCGGGAGCAATGGCCATCTTCGCTTTCCCATACCCTATGCAAACAGCCAGATATTAATTTTAAGCTGTTCCATTGTACCCAGTACGCCTTTGCGATGGGGCTTTCCGCTGCCATTTGCTCCTTAGTTGGCCTTCTGTCCACCTCCAGTCCATGCATCAAAAGCCCCAGATCTGGATCTTCCTGCTGACACTTTCGTAGCTGTTCTTCCTTCCACTCTTCCGCTGGTGTTATTGTCGTTAGACGGACGTCTATAATGTCCTCTTTTCCCTCAGCTTTTGAGCAGTGTTTACATTCCAGGCTACATGGTCGGCGGGACATGGCATCAGCATTACCGTGGACACTTCCCTTGCGGTGCTCAATAGCGAAGTCATAATTCTGCAGTCTCTCAATCCACCGAGCTAGCTGTCCTTCTGGATTGTTAAACTGTAGTAGCCACTTCAGCGCTGCATGGTCCGTTCGAACTCGGAAACGTTGCCCACAGAGGTACTTGTGGAAATGTTTGACGAACTCCACCAACGCTAGTAGTTCTCTCCGAGTTACGCAGTAGTTCCTTTCTGGTTTTCCAATCGACCGGCTATAGTAGGCAACCACCTTCTCCTGCCCATCAATTACTTGCGACAGTACGCCTCCTATGGCATAACCACTAGCATCCGTATCCAAAATAAACGTTGCACCTGGAACGGGATACGCTAGCATATGTGCAGTACATAGTCGTTCCTTCAGAGTCTGGAAAGCCTCCTCCTGCTCCTTGTTCCACTCGAAGGCTCTATTTTTCCTAGTGAGCTCGTGGAGGCTATTAGCAACGCTGGCGAAATTCGGAACAAATCGGCGGTAGTAGGTGCATAGCCCAAGAAAACTTCGTAGTTCGTGCAGGTTCCTAGGTCTTGGCCAATCCTTTACTGCTTCTATCTTTTCCTTCGCAGTACAGATGCCCTCCGTTGTCACCTTGTGCCCTAAGAAGTTCACCTCCTTCCTGAACAGTGAGCACTTTTTAGGACTAAGCTTCAGACCAGTGCCAGCTATCCTCTGGAAAACTTCTTCCAAATTGTTCAGGTGTTCCTCAAAGTTTTAACCCAGTACGATAATGTCGTCTAGATACACCAAACATGTTTTCCAATGCAGTCCTTTGAGCACATGGTCCATAAGTCGTACAAAAGTGGCAGGAGCGTTGCATAATCCAAAGGTCATCACCGTGAATTGCCACAGACCGTCTCCAACGC